GACAGACAGCGAGGAGAGGAGGAAAATGACTGCTTCGGAAATCGTGCTTCTAAGGAAGCCACAGTCCAGGGCGCTGGTGTCTGTCTCCACATCTGCCGCCCCAGGCTCGTTTATCTGCTTTTTCTTCCAGGTCTGCCCCACAGAGTCCAAAGCCCACACACCAGCTGATAAGGGAAAGTGGCCGACTTCAGGGTGGGAGCAGGGCCGGGCGTGCAAAGGAAGTTTTCAGGCAAAGCCTCTTAGCTTCCAGTCTTCAGGGACACCTAGAGGAGGTGGGCGTCACCAGCCCAGACAGGGGCGCCCTTGAGGACCACACCTGCTCTGGGGCCCCTTCCCCTGCCTGACAGCATTGTCACCCCTCCGGGTCACATCCTGAGGTGCTTCTCCTACATGAGAGATGAGAGACGGGAACCTGCTCAGCCGGCAGGGTGGAGGTGCCATCTCCTTGTTGGGGACCTCGTTGGCTCTCTCTGGTGACACAATCAATGAGAATTTTTTTCCGCTGGTTTTAGAGGCTGGAAGCGCAGGCCCAGGGTGTCAGAAGCTTTGCTGCCGGGAAGACTCGCTCCCTGAACAACAGTCGACTTTTGGCAGTCCTCACACGAGCAAGCACTAGGGTGCCCCTTCATTTTTCTTTTTCCTTTGTTCTACTGGGGATAGAACACTTCACACCGGTCACATCTCTAGCTCTTTTTTATTTTTAATTTCTAGACAACCACCAAATTGCGTAGGCTGAGCGAATTTGTGATCCTCCTGCCTCAGCCTCCCAGAATGCTGGGATTATAGGGGAGTGCCACTGCACCTGGCTCTGCTGTCCCTTATTCTGAGGGCCCCCCTCCCACAGGATTAATGCCATCCCTCCGGGGACTGGAGCTGCCATCCATGAACTGAGAGGGACACAGTTCAGTCCGGAGTTTGTAGGATGAAACAGTGGCTGTGAGTCCAAAGAACCACTATCAGTTGCATTTGTTTACTGAAGACAGATGCTGCTGTTTGAATGAGCAGATGTTTTTCATACTCTGCAATTCTTCCTCCTACTTCTCCTCTTCTTCTTTTTTCTCTAGTCAAGTGGGGGAAACTTTACTCAGGCCCCAAGGCCACAGTGCTAGGGCAGGAGGGGCTGGTGGAGCTTTATTTGACTTCTTCTGGGGTGTGGGTTGTTGCTGTGGCCACACTCCTCCCTGTGGCAGTCGACGGCCCGGGGTGCAGGCAGGCACAGCTCTTGTAGCAGATCATCTTGTCACAGCTGTACTTCTGGGTGAGCTGGCACGGGGACAGCCCCCAATGATCCCACATCGCAGGCGAAGCCCCAGGTGCAGGGTGGGCTCTTTTTGGATGTTGTTGTCAAAGAGAGTCTGACCATCCTCCAGCTGTTTGGTGGCAAATATCAGATACTGCTGGTCCGCTGGTGTTGTGATCAGGGGTTGCAAGGAAACCAGTTATACACAGGACACATAATTTCTAGTGTTATTTATAATGGCCACCCAGTCAAACACAATAAGTGCAGGAACTCTATTCCCATACTGAAGACCTAGAGAATCCAGTTGAGGGCCTGGATCCCATGGTAATAACCTGCATGAGTCCAGCTGAAGATGTAGAGCCCATAACAGTGGCCTTCCACGAGACCAAATGGAGGTCTAGAGTCCACAACAGTAACTTGAGTGAGTCTGTTTCATGGATTTGTGCTGGAAAGGCCCAAAGGTCAGTGGTGGAAGCTAGAAAGTCTATGCCAGTGAGTGAAGGATCTGTGCCAGCAGGTTGAGGGTTCTGCACTGGAGCCAAGAAGCGACAGTCAAGATAAGGACTAGGGCTCCCCTGAAAAGTACCACAGCCATCCTCAGTGACAGTGAGGTCCTGGCTTCTCTGATGGTGAAAACAGCTGAGTTCGTATCAGGAAGCCAGCGTGACAGCTTCTCCTGGAGACTGAACAGCTCATACTTCCCTTCTAGAGCTAGGAGGCGATGCTCAAAGTAAGGACAGGAGCTCCCCAAAGTGAACTGCAGCCATTCTCAGCAACAAGGTCCCGAGCTCCTCCGATGATGATAATGGCCCAGTTCATGTCAGGGGAACCAGCATGACAAGCTCTTTCAGGAGAACCAGCAGCTCCAAACAGCACTTAGGCGAACCCACAGTGCTACGCTTCCTCTCTAGGTCTCTCTTCTGTGCTGGTAGCAGTCCTCAGGTGGGCCATCCATGCTCAGTACCACGCTGATTCAGTTCAGATGGTGTTAAATTGCCCACCAGGTTTTCATCCACCGTGTCTTGGATTTTGACTTTGATATTCTTGATGGTGTCATTGGGCTCAACCTCGAGGGAGATGGTCTTTCCTGTCAGGGTCTTTGTGAAGAGCTGCATCTCTGCTCTGCCACTTGGTTACCTCGTTGAAGAGAAGAGTTGCATTCTTATAAGACATATTAATACCATAGTTCATGTTTTTCTCAGTGGTGGGTTCCCATAATGTAATCCAGGTATTCAAGAGGCTGAGGCAGGAGGATTGCAAGTTTAAGTCCACCGAGTGAAACTCTGTCTAAAAACAAATCCACCCCCCCCACCCAAATGAAACAAAAGCTGGGGATATAGAACAATGGTGAAGTTCAATCATCAGTATTTGGAAAAAAAGTTATTTTTTACAGAGATTGTTTTTTTCTAAATCAGAGTTAATGAGTCATTAAGAGTTAATGAATTTCTGAATGGCCCAGAATTTTTTTCTTTTCTTTTTTATTTAAGAGAAAAAAAGACACAGAAAAGAAAAACAAAAACAAAAGAGACAATAACAAAAAACCCATTACAATGGCAGAACAGGTTTACAAAACAAAGTGATAGGAATTTGACAATGGCTATAATATTGCATATTGTTACCTCCACAAGGATTGCTTAGCATAATAGATATAGACATGTAAAATCGATCTAATCACCTGAATATTAATTGTTCCCTTTCAATAGCTAATACAGTTGTTAGTAGAGTCATCTTAGTATCTTACGTGAATACAAATTTGTGTCTTTTCTTCTTCCCTTTTTTGTTCCCTCCTTTCCTCTATCCCAATCGTTTTCCCTCTTTGAGCAGTTTCTTACACAGTATTTACTGTAGATTTTGGATTATATATACCTTTTCGCTTTCTTACACTAGGGAGACAATATGGTATTACACACGTGAGCTTATTCCATTTATGAGTATGGTCTCAAGTCATGTCCATTTACTTATAAAAGTCTCAATGCAGTCTTTCTTTATAGCTGAGTAGTGCTCCATTGTATAAAAATACCGCATCTTTTTTATCCATTCCTTGATTGATGGGCACTTCAGTTTCTACGATTCGGCTATTACAGATTGTGTTGCATGGCTGTACATATATCACTGTCATATGATGTTTTCAATTCTTCTGGGAAAATGCTCACAAGTGGGGTAACTGGGTCAAATGGAACCCCTAATCTTAGCTTTTTGAGGAATCTCCACACTGATTTCACAGTGGTTGTACCAGTCTACACTCCCAGCAACGTTGCAGAAGAGTTCTTTTTTCCCTACAGCCCCTCCAGCATTTGTTATTGGTTGATTTCTTGATCTTGATCATTCTTTCTGGAGTGAGATGGAATCTCAGTGTTGTAATTTGCATTTCCTAAATAACTAGTGATGTTGAACACTTTTTCATGTATTCACTTCCCATTTGTATTTCTTCATCTGAGAAGTACATATTCATCTCAGATGCCCATTTTTGGATTGGGTCTTTGAATTTGGAGGGTGTGATTTTTTTCAGTACTTTATACATTCTAGATAGATGTCCTTTGTCTGAGGGACATTGGCTAAGATATTTTCCCAGTTTGTTTGTTTTCTTTTCACTCTGTTGGAGATTTCTTTTGACATGCAAAAATATTTTAATAAGATGAGATCCCAGTTGTTGATTTTGGGAAATATTTCTCATGCAGTTTGATTTTTGTTCATGAACTCTCTGCCTACTCCTATGTTGTCAAGATTTTTGCCTACATTGTCTTCCAGCAGATTTAGTGTTTCTGTTTTAATATTTAGATCTTTGATCCATTTTGATTTTAGTGCCCAGTGATAGACGTGGGCTCAGTTTTAATCTTGGGCATATGGGAGCCAGTGTTTCTAGCACCACTTATGAAAGGGGCTATCTTTCTTCCACTGAATATGTTCGGCCACTTTGTTAGGATGAAGGCCCAGGATTATTTTCAAAGCTTTGCATAATATAAAGAAGCTACTCAAGGTCACTGAGAACAATGTATATTTTAGGTAATAATAGTTTGTCCTAAAAAAATTTAAAATGTTTTATATGTTGGAATTATTATTGCTTTGCGCAGGAGAATGAGTTTCTTAACTGAGAAACTAAGGAATCAAGTATATCGTCTATCAGAAATATTATGGGAAAAGGCTAGGAATTTAACTCAGTGGCATAAGTGCCTGCCTGGCAAGCGGGAGGTGATGAGTTAGATCCCCAGGACCAAAAAAGAAAAAGAAATATGACGGGAAGCCACCTCAGTGGCCCCCATAAAATGCAAAATGTCAGTGAAAAGAAAATGCAGGAGGAAGGGAACAGAGGACATGAAGTCACCTTAATGCCCTTCAGTAGTGTTGTTGGTGTGCTTCATGTATTTATGTGAGTGTGTAAGGAGTGTGTGTATAGCAGTGAGTGTGCAGGAGTGTAACTGTGTGTGTGTAGCAGTGTGTGTGTAACAGTGTGAGTGTAACTGTGTGTGTGCGCACGCGTGTGTACTCTTTGTGGGCGGAGCCCCGCCCCAGGCCCGTGCTGGCCGGGCACCGTCTCCCCGCACTGCTTTGCTCTGCGTTTCATAAACGCCTTCAGCACGTGGTCCGCCCGGCACCCAGGCCTGAGCAGCTTTCGGACCCTGCTCATCTCTACTCTGAATGCCCTGGGGCTCCGTCTGGGGCGGGGGCTGCAGCAGAGGCGTGACCCTGTGTGGCCCTCTGCAGCGCCTCTGCGGCCACTCTGCTGTGTTAATGCCCATCTGTCCCTGTGCCCCCTTTCCAGTGCTTGTCAGCCGAGGAGATCTTCGCCCTGCATGGCTTCTCCAATGCCAGCCGGATCACCAGCGCCGACTTCCCCAGCATCTGCCCGGCCGTGCTGCAGCAGCTGACCTTCCACCCCTGCGAGGCCCAGCCCAGGCCCTCTTCCAAGCCCAGCTTGTCACAAGGTGCGTGGCCGCTCCTGGGCTCAGGGTTGGGGCTGGGCGGGCACTGCAGGCCTGCCTGTCTCTGCCTGCTGTGCTGCAGTGGCACAGATGAGCAGAGAGGTGGCCCTGAGGGTGCAGAGTGAGCGGGCTCATCCTCGGAGCAGAGATTCAGAGCCTCTTGGTGTGTCTGGTCAGCTTAGCGAGGTGAATGTGGCTTTGATGCCTCAGTGCCCTTTACTCCTTGAGGGACAGTGCCCAGGGCCTAGAAAGTAAAGGTGTAAGAGCACTCTGGCCCACATAGAAAGCCAGAGCTCAAGGTCTCTGTGGCTGGGTACATGCAACTCCTTGATATCACAGCATTGATAAGCCCCCCGTGGGTATTTTAATTTTCACTCATTTATTTGTTAGATAAATGTTTGCTGGGCGCCATCCTGAGCAGTGTTCTCTAGGGTCCAGCAGCAAACAGGAAGGATTTTCTGCCCTTCTAGGGTTTACAACACAGTGACAGACGAGTGCTTAAACAAATAAGCTAACGGTGCGGGCAGAGGCAGCCCACCTTGCAGAGGCCTGGCTGAGGGAGCGCAGATCCTCTGTGGGTGCAGGGAGGGGTGGCCAAGTGGTCGAAGGACTGAGACCAGGCTGGGCAGCGAGGGGCAGGCAGGGGTGTCAGAGGACTGATTTTATGTAGAACACAGTGTGAAGCCATGTTGGGTGCGAATGTTAGCATTGTGAGTTTATTCCCACCTGGATGGAAGCGTGCTACATGTCCGGGGCCAAGAGCAGAAGCCAGGAGGCTGTTTTGGGGCAGATGTCCAAGGCCTTGGGGACTTGGGCCATGACGGGGCCGAGGTGAGTAGACAGAGGCAGGGTGGACTGGCGATGGGCTGAGTCGGTTTGTCTGGGGTTGGGTGTGGGAGAGGAGGGAGAGCGATGGCTTGAGCTAGAGAGATGGACTGCACGCTTGCCCCTGTTTTCAGGGGTGGAGACGAGTGGAGAGATCTCTAGTGGGGCGAAGGGAACAGTGAGGGGTGAGGGTAGACTGGGAGCTGTCCTTCGAGGCCAGCCAGGTGCCCAGGAGGCAGGGTGACCCCGCATTCGAATTCAGTGGAGAGGTGGTGTTGCTGGTGCTGCAGGAGCAGGCTGGTTCTATCTGTGCAGAGTGAGGGACACGGAGGGACTGAGACAGAATGGAGAGCGGTCTCCACAGGGCTACACCTGCTCGGCTTGCTGGAGTCTCCCTGCCTGTGCACATTGCTTGAATACCAGTCATGCCAACAAGAGTGATAATGGCCTGTATTTTGGAAGCTTGCTATGCAACAGGTACTCTTCCAAGCATGGTTTTTAGATGAACCACTCAGTCTTCCAACAGCTGTGTAATGTAGACCCTGCTTTCCCATTTCACAGGCAAAAAATAGAGGTACAGGAAAGGACCTCTATTACACAGTTCACATGTGCTGGAGACAGACTCAACTCAGGTTGTCTTGGCTTCAGAATTCGGGTGCTCCTCCATCTTTTGCCCTTGTGAATACTAACAGTGGAAGTCATCACCCACAGTTTACCAAGATACTTTGCAACTTAATGAGTAACACTAGGTAGTTTCAAAGTTGAAATAATAGTATTTTGAGCAGTTACTAATAGTTGAAGCAAATATTTTTGCTAGAGTATGTTTATATTTCTTCCAGTCTGCACTATACAGTTTGCACTATATGTTCAAAAATAACTTCAGCAAACTACTCGTTGGCCGTGTGCGAACATTTCCTGGTTGTACACATGGACCCCGAATCAGCCTGCTGCTGCTCAAGTCCAGCTCATGACTTGAACCTCTTTCTGCCCTGATTTCCCCATCTGAAATAGTTCGTTCTCATACTGTTGCTATTAAAAAAAGCACTTAAAATATCACACGCACACCCGGATGAGAAGGAGATGATCCATTGTTGAAAGGACAAAGGCTGAGAGTTGCAGTTTGATGTTACCGTATCAAGAAACATAACCCACCAGAAACATAAACCTAAAGTAAATAAATATCTGGCACATGGTTAGGTGCTATATTAGGTCTCTTAAATAAATAAATTATATCCAACTCATACACAATTCCTGGAAATGAGGTTTCAGAAAAATAAAAATCTTTTGTGCAGGTTAATTATGATTTTCAAAAGTGTTTTGAACTCCATTGGCTCAGGTGGTTTTAACTGCATTTCATGAACCAGGAGATGAGAACAGGGAAGCCGGAAACGGGAAGCAGGAGAAAGAATTCTAAGGTCAACACTACAAAGCCATAAGGCGGAAAAAGTCAACAATCCCGAGTTACAAGATCAGAAAGATACTGAATGTTGGACGGCAGATCCAATAAAGGAGGCAGAGCATTCTGCTTTTCGAGATGTGAACTTGGCAATGTAGCTTTTTTCTCTTTACTTTGATACCGGGCATCAACCCAGGCCTATGCACCGAGCTGGCTCCCCATTTGCCCTGTTACAAGGTCTCTCTAAATTACCCACATTGGACGTTAAATGCATCCTTGCTTCAGCCTCCCAGCGGCTGGGATCATAGAGGTTGACACCGTGCCCGGTCACATTGTCTATTTGATGTGACATCTTACCAGTTTTATTTTAGTGCAGCTGTGTAATCTTGAGCAACTTCAGTCCCCTCCTTTGTGACATGCAGACGCATCTAATGATCACAGCTTTCTTTCAGAATTGCTGGGGCCTTCACATGAGTTAATGTGTGTGAAGTGCCCAGAACTGACTGGCTACAGAGTCAGAAGCTGACATCTTTAGTCTTCTTTCTCTGTGCTCAGAGGTTCCCCTCTTCCCTGGCCTCTGGAACATGCTCCTTTCCTATCAAGAAATGTTTAAGAAATAACAAATTGTGGTGGATTCTGATATAACACTGCATTTACAAGTCAACTCTGAGTTCATTCAAAAAAATGAAAAATCAAAATGAAAGGAATCCAAAGAGTTAGGCTACTAGAGTTTTCTGAACATGTTTATGTTGACATTTCAGTGAGAGGATAAAATACTTTTGTTTCTTTTCTTTTTTTATTGGTACCGGGGATTGAACTCATGACCGCCTGCTTGCAAGGCAGGCGCTTATGCCGCTGAGCTAAATCCCCAGCCCCAATACTTTTGTTTCTACAAGAGCTCACATTTTATGATTTTTAAAGTTATTTTTGAGGTACTTTATAAAATTATATTAATGACTACAGTAAACTGATGGTCCACTAACTTCTCTGAGAGGGAAATTACATGCATTTGATCAATAATTTAACAGCCCCAAACTGCCTTGGTTTTGATGAATTTCAGAATACTGCTTAATTCAGCTAACAGATGAGAACAATAGAATGTCACTTGAAGCATCCTGAGGGTCCTGCTGTCCAGCGTCACAATGCAGGTCTGCACTGCGGCATAATGAGGTGGCTTCCCTTGTGCTGAATCCAGGCAGACAGCACAGCCCCGGGCTCCAAAAGCCAACTTGTTCTGTTCCCTGGATAACAGTGAGCTGAATGGACAGACACTTAGGTGAAGGTCAGCTATACTTTTTGGAAACAGTAGTGAATGGTATTGTTGGCTGACCAAGCTCAGCTGACCAAGCTGAGGAGTTGTTTTTTTCTACCTGGGTTTCAGGGTGGTTGGAAAAGTCGTTAGTGGGTTTCCTCAATAAACAGAAGTGCTGTTTGCTGGCTAATTTCCTAGGCACTGAGGATAAATTCTTGAAAATGACACCATCTGCATGATGTAGACAAACCATCAGGGATAGGGTTCATGGAGCTCGCAGGATGCAGCGATTGACAATCAGCTTCAAATGAGGGACTCTGAGGACCTTGCTGAGCTCAGCAGAGGCGGCTTGGAGAGTTGGGCTGGTGTCTGCAGATGGGGGTCCTTAGTGTGTGGGGTGCTGGGCCTGGGCGGAGCCCTGTGAAGAAGGAGCAGCTAACACTGGCAAGTGCATGGGAGCTCGTCTGGGAGGAGCAGCTGGGAGCTGGTCCTGTGTGTGTTGTGTGGAACCTTGGCAGGACAAGATGGAACACTGTCCTGCTCCATCAGGGTGACCTGAGAGGTGACATGAGTCTGCATTCCTGCAGGCACAGAGGGCCACTGAGGCCGATGGGCAGGGTCTGGCTCCTGTTTCCTAAGGACCTGGCTAGTAGAGAGTGGGAGAATGGAGTTGACCTTGTGTCTGCTGTGTGCAGGGGCTGTGGATGCCTATCAAAAGAGCTGAAACGCTATAAGACAGTGTAGCCATGGAGTCGCCTCTGTTTGCCACGCAAACATTTCTTTGCCTTCTGATTTTCATTTTCCAACTTGATGCGTCTTGTCAGTGAGACAAGGAGGTCGGAGGAATGTATGTGGGCCAGGTGAGGAACAGTGGCTGTTGGCCGCAGGTAGAGGAATGGCGGATGACGTCTGGGGCTGAGAGCTTTCTCCAAGGGGCAGTCTGAGGGCAGGGGCGGGGCTGTTAGGTAACAAGGAAGGACAACTGCATTACTCATGGGTCCTGGCAGGCCTCAGGCCGATAGGCGGGCTCGTGGAGAGGACAGTGTCACGCTGCTCAGCACTGTGATGGGTTATATGTCTCCCCAGCACTGCTTATTGTCTGGGCTTGGTGTTGGCAGGTGAGCTGGGCACTCCTGCACGTGCACACAGGTGTGTGCATGCCTTTTCCAGCTCCCCAGCAGGACGGTGACTGCTACCTGTTGGCAGGAGCCATGGTGTGTCCTTATCCTGGACCTGAGACTATTTGCTAGGAGCCATGGTGCTTCCATGTTCTGGACCTAAGAGCAAATTTGTGGACAGAATAAGAGTGTGTTGTCATGTCTCCCCATGTTTTTGCCTGAGTCCCAGAGGTGCAGTGGCAGGGTGACCTCCACAGGTGCAGCTCACACTTCGCTGAGTTGGCTGGCTCGCTGGCTTGGGGTCCGGCTCTGTCTGTCTGGGACTTGGTGGCTTGCTTGGCCCCTGTGCCTTTTGGCTTCCTCAGCTATGTGGAGAAGGAGGCAGCACTGTCCCCTCCCCAGCCACGAGGGAATCTAGGAGCTGTCTCAAGCTGCATCAGGTACAGGCCTGTGATGGTGTTGCCATTTGTTCTCTGAGGCTGCTGCTGTCTGAGGCAGGGTTGAGTACCAGGATCCTTAGGGTCTTCAGGGCCATCGCCTTCTCCTTCCCCTGGGCTCCACGGACAGAGAGCCCTGCAGACAAAGCAACCGCCACACAGCCTAGGGCCACACTGTCCTTAGCCTCGGGTGACTGCTGCAGGCCACTGTCCTGCCTGCACCCTTCCTCCCTGCAGGTCCTTTCACTAGTGCCCCCGAGTCTGGGGGCAGAAGCTGAGGCCCAGGGGCCCAAGGGCAGCAGGTCAACATGCCCTGGTTGAGGGACTCGGAGGAGTGCACACCACCTTGCTGTCTGCTGATGCTCTCTGTCCCATCTGGGGACTTATGGGTTCTCTAGAGTCAGCAGACAAGTGACTGTGACCAGCCAGTGAGGGCTGTGCTGGTTCCTGTGGCATCCTGGCTTAGCTCACCCATCATCTGTCTCTTGCTGTCACCCACATGGTCCCCCGACTCTCGGCCTGTCCCCTGTGGAGTCTGGGTCTGTCCTGCTCTGAGACTTCTGAGTTCTCTGCAGACCCCGAAGTCCATGGCCTGGGAGATGTCAGAACACAGCAGAGCGCAGGCACTGCATCCTCACCGTCTGCAGGGCTATGTCTGTGTGCTGGGTTTTCTGCCGAGCTTTGTTTTAAGCAAATGCTTTGCACTCACTTGGTGAGACTGCTGGGCCCCGATAACGATCTCTCCCTCCCCTCCGACCCAGTCTGGGGCTACGGGCTGCTCTCCGTCACCATCATCAACCTGGCCTCACTCCTCGGCTTGGTCCTGACCCCGCTCCTCAAGAAGTCCTACTTCCCCAAGATCCTGACCTACTTTGTCGGGCTGGCCATCGGGACTCTTTTTTCCAACGCAATTTTCCAGCTTATTCCAGAGGTAAGGATGGTGTTTCTGTGAATAATTTTCTCTTTCATGTTCCTTTAGTATTTTGGATGCTGTTAGCCTCCATAACCCTTGCAGTATGTGATGAGAAGGTTTAAGGTGGGGTCAAAGCAGACACCGGGGCTAGGGATGGAGTGGGATTCACATCCCAGGGGCCGCGGACCCTCGGACAGGTGTGCAGACTCACATGCTTCCGCCGTGTGCTCGGCAAACCCTTCTCTGCACACCCTTCTTTTTCTCTCTCTCCCCTTCCTTCTTTCTTTCCTTCCTTCTTTTTTTCCTTTTTTGTATTAGGGACTGAACCCAGGGCTTTCACATTGAGCTGCTTATACAGTATAATTTTTAAATTATAAAATACTTTTTTGGCAAGTTTCTTGCTAATTTGATAAATTCCTCAGATTAGAATCCTCCTGCCACAGCCTCCCAGAGTTCAAGTATTATAGGCACCCACTACTATGCCCAGTGATTATTTATTTCTAAAGCATCTGCCATGTCAAATTAAATGAAGATATGCCACAAAATCCCCATATGTTTATACTTCTGCTGGAGAAAAGCAGCAGTCATAAACATATGAGAGTTGAGTTGACAAATACCTTTTCTTTTAATAAAAAAATTAACTAAGGGAAAAACCAGTAGTGGGCCAATGCCTACCCCGTGAGTCTTTCCTCTGACAAAACATTGTTGATCTGACATCAACAGTCAATCAACAGACAATAGCTATGTGCTCATAAAAAAGGAGAGAGAGAGAGAGAGAGAGAGAGAGAGCAGGGCGAGAGGCATGGGAGGGAAAGCCGAGCAGGGAGAACTGGGGGACCCTGCAGGAGAGGTCTGCAGAGCTGTGGAGGAGGCTGTGCTTGGGGACACCTGTCCGGGGCGGGGACCCAGCTGCGCAGAGCTCCCGGCTAGGAAAGAGACTAAATTGCTTTCAGTTGACAGTGCGGGCAGAACTCCTCAGGGCCCTAAAATTTATGATTACTTGATCTAGAAAGAATGCAGGGGAATATTGATTTCAAACTCCAAAAGGAGAGAAGACAAAATTAAAATCCCGGGAATGAAATGCTTGCTTATCCACTAGTGACAGCTAACGGGGAAGTACAGATCTTTTGCTGTTTGTGCCACACGTCAGGTAATGTAGTTCACGGAGCACCGTAGTGTGTGTATTTGTGTTTATTATTTCACCTGCTTTCCGAGCGGAATTAAACCAGCCGGGCAGGGCATGTGGCTTGGTGGTGGAGCTGGTCTGGCGTATGCAGCTCTGACTTCCAACTGCAGACTGCAAACAAAACAAAACAAAAACTAAACTAAGATTCCAAGTGCATGGGGAGTCTATCTGTATAATCGTAGGTTGGAAATGTAGTCCTAGAAAAGCTCTGTCTTTGTTGTAACCTCTCAGGCTTCCGTCGGCTTATTTTATGAGTATGCAAAACCCCTTTGCTTTTGTTGTTGGGTTTGACTTCATGCCCCTTATGTTAGGTATGCAGGCAGGTGTTTTTACGCTGCTCTTGCACTGTGTACTTGTGAACAGGCACACAGTAGTCACTTACATGAAGAGCAGGCTTCAGGGTGTCACCGGAAGAGTAGACCCAGGGCCAAGTCTCTGACAGCCTCTCATCCACTCCAGAGAGGAGAGCTTCAGTGCATGGAAAGGAGGGAGCCAGGCCTGCAGTGCACGCCTGTGATCCCCGCACTCTGGGAGGCCGAGGCAGGAGGACTGTAAGTTCAAGCACAGCCTGGGCAATTTAGTGACTTAGTGAAACCCTGTCTCAGAAAGTAAAGAAGGGCAGGGGGGTGTGGCTCTGGGCAGAGGTCTTGGGTTCAGTCCCCAACACTGAAAAAAAGTGCAAAGTTGTGGCTTTTCATGTATTACTGTCCCCTCCTATTTCACTGTCTTAAGCTTATGCACTTACTGTGTGTTAGGGCCACCTTGCTTCTCCAAACTCCAGCTCTTGCCCTTGGCCCCTCTGACAGTGGCTTTTCTCCTTTGCAGCCTTGGCAGGTGCTTCCCAGTGTTAACTGGTTGTGAGGACAGACATAGAACATTGGTTAAAAACCGGTCCTGAGGAATCATGGTACTGTTTCCCGAAGATTAAGTTAAATTATGTAGTTTGACCAGAATTGTCTTGCCTCTCCCTGCCCCAGGCATTTGGATTTAATCCCAAAGTTGACAGCTATGTGGAGAAGGCGGTGGCTGTGTTTGGAGGATTTTACCTGCTTTTCTTTTTTGAAAGAACACTTAAGATGTTACTAAAGACCTACGGGCAGGTAGGTGGACTCCTTGGGCACGTGGGATCCGGGCCGGAATGGCTGCAGGAGGTGGGAACTTCGCTCCAGGATGGGGTCTGAGCCCAGGTGTGGGTGGGAGAGGGTGGGAGCCTCAGCGCAGTTCTGGCTGGAAGGATCCTGGATCCAGGCTGGAGAACAGAGTGTGCAGAGCTGGTATCGCATGTGTATTACCAAAGTAGAAAGGGACCTGACTCCAACACGAAAAACAGAAGCAACAGAATACAGTCAACAGAGAGCGTCTAAGAGGGGAGGTTTTGTAAATCCTTACAAAGGCTAAGCGGAGAGAGGATGCAGGCGTCTTCTTGGGTGAGTGGGCAGGCAGTTGCTGCACGGCAGCTGGCCTCTCATGCTCCCTACCCTTGGCTCCTTTTTCCACGCAGCACGATCACGCCCACTTCGGGAAAGACGACTTCAGCCCTCCTGACAAGACGCACCCTCCTAAAGCGCTGCCTGCCGTCAACGGGGTGATGTGCTACGCCAACCCCGCTGTCACGGAGTCCAACGGGCAGGTGCACTTCGACTGCACCAGCGTGGTGTCCCTGCAGGTACGTGGGCCCTGCCCTCTCTCCAGACCACTCTCCAGACCACTCTCCCCACTCTCCAGACCCCCGCCTTCTCCTCGGCAGAGGCCGCTGGGAGCTGCATGCACTGCACGCTGCCTGTGTCAGACTCCCTCTTACACACTGGGGGGGGGGGGGTTAAGAAAAGGTGCGTCTGCAGGCCTTGCCCGCTTTCTCCCTGGGGCTTTACACTGAATAAGAAAGAAACTGCGGGCTACTGGGTCTGAGGCTTCGTTATCCCCTAAGTTTGTTTATGGAGTCGTCTCTGCCTTAGATTTCTGAGATGCGTGTAGCACAGTTACCACGGAGTATTCTCTTCCATCTTTTCAGGATCTATAACCAAAGCATCCCTAGAGTGAGCCCGAAACTGTAAGAAGAAAGATTTATATGCTATTACTATTGCTTTTATTAGTTGTACTTACAGGTCTTGAAGAACAGAATACTCTGCTAAGAGTGTTGTACTCCGTCGCAGTTCTTGGTATGTTGTCTGTGTTGGCTTTACACATTGAGAACCATTAGTTTTTGGTCAAGGAGCATATTTATTGTGGTAGGAAGATGCAAAATGCTTCTGACAGGATGTGGCGCTTGTTCTAGATAGTGGTGTGGGTGTAGTCAGGTGTGTGCTCTGGGACAGCTCAAGGTTAAAGGTCAAGAAGGCTGGTCTGGGGAGGGCCGGTCTCCCAGCACTCTGTCATTCTGTTGTGGGCACGGGACTGCATCATATTCCTGACATTGCCTGTGTTGTCCCCCACCGTCCTACCTGTGCGGCCGCTGGGCGTGTGGGGTGGTGAGGAGGGACCCCATCAGGCAGGTTCTTGGGGCCTTTGCTAGCTCTAGACTCGGGGGCCATTTGAGGGACCAGCCAGGCCTGGCTTCTATGAAACCTCTGTGTGTCCACTGGAAAAAGATGTGATTCAGTGCACAGTGCTGGAACTTGCCTGTTTTTCCGATAAAGGAAAACTTAGTCCAGCCAAGTTTAGAAGCTGACTGTTGTGAAGTTCTATTTAAGATCGAGGTGCAGTGAAGTGGGTTGTCGCTGCCCAGGGTGGATGCTAGAGCAGCAGGCTTTGTCAATAACTGCCACAAAGTGACACTCCACAAACACGAAGGGAGCCTCCCTGCCGAGTGCGGTCCCGGTGAGAATCTAACAGACTTCACATCCGCGTCAGTTTGTTCACCAAGTACCTCCTTGGACTGACCCTAGGAGGGTGGCACAGAGTGGAGAGCCCTGCTTTCCACGGTGTGACTGAAATGTCCCAAATATTGAGTTTTACACCAAAAGGTGTGAACATGGGGCTGGGTGGAGATGGATCGGGAGCCCGCTGTGTCCATGTGTGGGCTTCTGTGCCAGTCTTTCGGAGGGTTTGGCTTTTCTTTGTCTTTGCTTGGAGGGGAGAAGGGGGAGCTTCTTCCTGGCTGCCTGCCTTTCAGTTGGCTTCCTGTATGTGTTGCTACTCACAATGAGAATGGTAGAGGACTGCCCAGGAAGTGGTCTCCCTTGCAGGATGAGGTCAGGCAGAGGAAGAGGAAAAGGAGGAGGAGAAGGAGGAGGAGGAGGAGGGGGGGGGGAGGAGGAGGAGGAGGAGGAGGAGGCGGCCAGAGGGTGGAGGCTCCCTCGGTGCCCCTCCAGACCCTTGTCCTGTACTCAACATCTCATCAGACTCCGAGTGCTGCCCAGGTCCTGGATGTGGCTCCCTGATCCTCTCCGATGAGCTCTTCCTTCATTGGTGTTGATTATTCTTTTATTCTTCTCTACTTAACACCTTTTTACATCCTTGAGAAAAGCTGGCCCACTTCCGTTATTACCCCACACAACGCTCATCCTGCCCTTCCGGACTTGAAGGAGGAGCCTGCGGTCCTGTTGGCTCTGTACTCTCCCCTCTCACCAGGACTTGCATCCTTGCTCATCTTCAAAGCCAGTTCCCCTAACTGTCCTCCTCTCCCCAGTGCCATTCCCTGTCCTTGCTGGCCGCTCCTGCCTCTCTCCCTCTGTCCGCTTTCTCTCCCCTTCCCCTGACCTTGCCGCTTCCAGCTTCCCAGATCCTTTCTGCATCTCCAACCCCTTGAGAGCCTGACAAATTCCAGAGGAAGAGTTTGCTCCCTGCTGTCCTAGCTGCAATCCAGGTGGTCACCCCCACCCACCTAGGGCTGCCCTGTGCCATGGATTAGTCGTGACCCCAGCTCCGGTGGAGATGAGCTCACGTGGCACCGTGCATTCTGGCATGGAACTCACCCTGCGCCTTTCTCAAAGCTTTCCCTGTGAACCACGTGAACACTTTTAAAAAAATGTTTATTTTATGGAAAAAAAGTAAAACAAAGTTTCATAACAAGATGAGAAGAGAATAACAATAGTTAATATATTGCATGTTGTTCTCTTTAGTTACTCGGAGTACAAGGTACGGACATAAGAAATTCTCCAGCCTTCCTTTTCAATAAACTATTTTTTTCCTTTTTTCTTTGTTTCTTCCTTTACCTAATCTAGTTTCTTCTTCCTTTTGAACAAGTTCTTCCCATTTCACAATATGTGTTTTATATTTTAGACCTTATTTATGCTTTCTGTTTCTCACACCAGGAAGATAATATGATGTTTATACCTGTGAGTATGATTTATTTCACTTATGAGTATGGTCTCAAGTTGCATTCATTTACCTTGGAAATTCTCAAGTTTAAATATCAGAACCGAACCAACCTGTGGACAAATGTTCTTAGTAAAAGTATTTACAGTATTCCACAACATCAGAATATACTTCTTAGCTGCACATGGGGTGTTCTCTAAAATAGATCATATAAAAAGCCCACAGAACAGGCTTAAATAAATGAAAAGGATTTGTAATTATCCCATGCATATTTTCTGACCATAGTACAATGAAATTGGTAATTAATGGCAAAAGAAACCACAAAAACTCCATAAACATGGAATAACCAGTGAGTCATAGATGAGGTTAAAGAAGAAATTAAGCAATATCTATAATTAAATGAAAAGATATAACATACTGGAACCCGTGGGATAAGGAAAGCAGTCCTGGGAGGGGAATTTATAGTGGTGAATTCTCATACCAGGAAAATGGAATAAGCACAAATAAATAATCTGATTTTGCACCTCAAGTTTCTAGAAAAGGAAGAGCAAGTAAACCCAAAGCCCATACAAAGGAGGAAGTTATAAAGATCAGAGCAGAAATGAACACAGTGGGGACTAAGAAAACAATACAAAGAATTAACGAATTGAAGAGGTGGTTCTTTGAAAGAATAAATACAATTGATAAACCCTTAGCCAATCTTGTCAAAAAAGGGAAAAAGAACTACAGGCCAATCTCTTATCACGGGCTGATGAGCCCTGCCACCTCCCAAACAAGTGGCTGGTGAAGGTTTAAATAAAAGAGACAAGTGGTATGATTCGAGGGCTCCAGGAGGATCAAAACCTTCTAGCAGAATTCGGGATTCTCTGGGGGCTGAGACAAAGAACTCTGGGTGGCCTCTATTTGTTTGATTTTCAAACAAAGGAAAGGGTTAAAGTGGACAGCATGGGAGCTCACTGGAGTCAGCTCAAAGACTTCTCCAAGCAGTAAATTATGCTGGTTAGAACTGTCTTATCTCAAAGCTGACCTTTGCCACAGGAGTGAGACACCTTACTGCTATGGTCTCTATTTAATTTCTTGAAGTTGGAGCCAAGTGTCCTCAACTGTGGCCTTCTCTTGTCCTTTAAGGCTTTACAGCATCACAGACCACTACAGGTCTCAGCTGGGACCAGTCATTCATAGAGATTCACTACTATGAATCTGCTGCCCATCTCCAGACAAGGGGCCAAGGCCTCAGACAGTCCCACAAGAAAACATAGAAAGTCGACTGATGAATTTTAAATCCTGCTCAGAGCCGCTTTGCAGTGGTCTCCATCAGTATCCTTAATGAACATAGATGCAAAAATCTTCAGTAAGATACTGGCAAACAGAATGCAGCAAATCAAGAAGATTATACACCATGACCACGTGAGATTCATCCCAGGAATGCAGGGATGGTTCAACATTCGTAAATCAATACATTTAATACACAATTAACAGAGCCAAGGACGAAAATAATGCGATCATCTCAATAGATACAGAACAACTTTTGCAAAGTTCAACACTCATTCATGATAAAAACTCTACAAAAAATTGGAATAGATGGTCTTTATCTCAATTTGACAAAACTCATCTATGACAAATTAACAGTCAACATACCAAATGGCCACAAATTGAGAGCTTTGACTCTAAAATCAGGAATAAGGCAAAGACATCCACTATCACTAGTGCTATGTAACATAGTTCTGGAAACATTACCCAGAGCCGTTAGACACGGGAGAGAAATAAAAGGAACAAGGAGAAGAAAGAAAGAAGTTAAATTATCATTTATGAAGATGACATAATACTCTACAAAAGACTTCTAGATTTAATAACCAAATTCAGTTGTGTAGCTGGATACAAAGTCAGCACCAAGTGCTTTTTCTAGGCAGAAGAGCGCATTCTGAAGCCTCGCCCTGTCCTGCTCTCTCAGGGGCTGCTGTGTGTCGCAGGCTTGAGTGCCTTTCGCTGAGGACCCCGTGGGGCTTCTAGCCCACACCCCACCCCTGCCCATTGCAGAGTTTGTGGCCATGGTGGCTGGTGGGCGGTAGCCTGCCTCCTTCTTTCTGGCTGCCAGTGCCCTGGCTTCCACCTCATCCCCCGCCCTGCACGCAGCTGGGTGTGGGGGAGGAGCAAAGGCCTTGGAGTGAAGTGGACGGTGTCCACATCTGAGCAATAAGTACAGTTTGTATTTGGGGAAAATTAGTGGTTCTGAGCTGTGTTCATCTGTTACAGGAGGAACAAGAATTCTTAACTATTAGAGTTTTTGGAAATTAAATAACATCATGGGCCAACTACTTAGTATTCTCTTATGCTGATGATTTGTACCCCTGATGTGCTGAGCAGTTTTGGCTTCTTTCTTGAGTCATGTTTAGAGTCATTCACTGGGGG